CCCAGCCTCCCACGCCCCTCCACTTATCTCATGAGCCGCTACCCCTTGCCTGCCTTTAGTAATTGCGAACCTATGTTCTCCTTCATTCCTCTTCTTTCTTTCATGTTCTTCTTTGTCTTTTTCGCCACCTAAACTCTAGTACTATGTTTGGTTGGAATATTTGAGAAGGGATTTCAAAAAATAGAAAGAAAAAAAGCGTGTGAAACTAGGTGAAATATAAATATATTTTATTAATATTTCACCTACCTTTTGTCTTTCCTTTTCCAAATCTTTTTCCAAATCCTCCAACCAAACACAGCGTAAAAGAACAAAAAGAAGATAAAGAAGAGGGTCGTGGTTGCTGCTACCTCGGAAGAGAAAGAAGAAAACGGGCCGCAACTGGTTGGAAGAAAAAGAAAAAGAAAAAGGAAAGGGGGATGGCGCAACTGGGGGCTATCAACGAAGGGGGGCCTGGAAAAAGGTCATCGGAGGTGGGGTAGGGGTTGCCGAGATGTCCAAAAGGTAAGGTTAAGATTATGGTGGGTATTCAGAAAAAAAAGAAAGGAGACCATTTTGAATATGCGACTATGGTCCAAAATAATTAAGCGGACCTATTAGAAGCTTCCTTTGTTAATTTCATGTACTTTATGAGCGAAAGGTTTTATATCAAAATTGGGGTCAACATGTCACATTTTTTTAATTTTAAAAAATGTCCACGAGAGCAAATATACTATAAATTTTTAAAAAGAAATTAAATAAAAAAAATATCTCACCTGTCTGGATTGTAAATTTCATAGCACATATGCTTACTCTTTTAGTATTATATAAAATACGCTCCTCCATTGTTGTGAACTTCCACAAAATTTTCTATTTTCAAATTGTTCCTTTACAATGATCTCTATATAATTACTTCAGAAATTGATTTTTAATTTCAAATTTTGATAAATCTTAAGGGTTTTTTTTTTTTCTTTCTTCTTCTTCTTCTTCTCCTTTGACATTCAACTAGTTAATTTTTATAATATAATTATCAAATGTGCACACTGTTTTGTATTAATATAATGTCCACATTACATTTGGTGTGAACAAAGTTGTAATGTTTTTAATATATCTAAACTGGGAATGGCTAAGGATTTGATGGTCTGAATAGAAAAAAATATTTAACCTGTTAGGTTAGGTTGAGGAAAATATTTAGTTGGGTAAGTTTCATTTTAATTTTTTATAGTTTGAATTATGTGCGGTTTATTTTCCTGACATTTGGAAATGATTACATATAACATTCACATGGTTTGTAAACTGAAGTACACTGTTAAATATTTTGTCTAACTTAACAGTAAGTGTGAAACATGTGACAAACATAAGAGGTTATATGCTCATTTTCAAAGTTTAAGGGGGTAAATCACACGCAGAATAAAGCTCAAGGGATTAAAATACACTTTACCTTCCAAAAAAATGACAATAATATAAGAATATTTTAGTCTTTTTCATTAAATCGTTAATGGATTTAACAGTGCACTTTAATCCATAAACTATAAGGGGATTATGTGGTCATTGTCAAAAATTATGGGGATAACCCGCATGTAACTCAAACTACGTAGATGTAAAATGAAGTTTGCCTTATTTAATTTAGCTCGACTTGGTTCAACTATTTTTAAAATATTAATATTTATTTATATTATCTAGTTACAAAATAAATTAGAGAAATAATAAAATACAATAAAAGTTGAGATATATATACTTCTTTTTAAGGTTTAAGACACTTGTTAACAAGTTTATATTTATTTTATAATTGAATTTTTTTTCTAATTAAATAATTATTAAATGATCTAAATAATTTATTAGTATATATATACAAACTAATAACACATAATTATTGAGTTAAAGTGGGCTCTCAAGATTTATAATGTTGTCCTGTGGCAATAAAAAATTTAATTGGTTTTTTTAGAGTTGAGATTTTTTAGTTTAGGGTTAAAAAATTCGTTTAGATTGGTGTTATCCCAGTTAGGCAACCCAAGAGGGGGGGGTGAATTGGGTTTTTAGAGTTGAGATTTTTTAGTTTAGGGTTAAAAAATTCGTTTAGATTGGCTTTTTAAATTTTTTAAACTTTTGTAAAAAAATAAATAAAATAATTATAATTTAAATATGATATTTTATCTTATTATTTTAGTCCATTTTATTTTTTAATGACTAACTTAGGCCTCATTTGGGAACCCTCTCTTTTAGTTAAAAAGTCAAAAAGTTAATAAATTAACCAAAAAGCCAACAACCCATACAAAAAAGTCAAAAATTCTCTTTTTTCTCTATTTTTTGTACATCTTTTCGTAAAAAGTCAAAAAGTCATCCCAAACATATTAGTTTTTTTTAGCTCATATTTTAGTTAAATAGCCAAAAAATTACTAAATTAACCTATTCCCAAACGAGGCCTAATTCCAACCTAATCTAACTCAACTCAACTCACGTAGCCAAAGGGAGCCAATACGTGTTGAGAGTTGGATCTTGGAAATGTAGATCTTGAGAAAAAAATATGTATTGGAAAGATAAAAGTTATGTTTGGCATGAATTTTTTACAACAATAATAGGTGACGCGAAAAATCATGACTCGAATGATTCGAAACACTCAAAACGACGTCGTTTTGACACATTCGAGCTATTTGAGCCACAAAAATTCGGGCCACTAAACATTTTGTAATTTTTTAAACTAAAATAGTCTCAAAAAGATAAAATAGATTAAAAAATTAATAAAATAAAATGTCACATTCAAACCATAATTATTTCATTTTTTGTTTTACAAAAGTTAGAAAAGTCAAAAAATCATCCCAAACGAGGTTTTTTAGCCCTAGACTAAATAGTCAAAAAGTCAAACTTAACTCACATCCCAAACAAAGGCAAAGTTTCAAGGTATTAATTAAGAAAATAAATAGGTATACGTTTCAAGTTGTATACATATCAATTAAGAAAATAAATAGGTACACTAATTGGTATCCTAATTGATGTATATAGCATTATTCATCTTGTTTGGATTGTAGAGGGTTAGATCAAGTAGGTAAATATTTTTTTTGAACGTTTAAGAAGGTAAATCTTGAAAATAATAATTTGTCTTGAAAAAAAAAATGTGTTTAAAAGATAAAATGTGAATTGAAGGGACAACTCTTTAAAGATGAATTTAAGTTATTAATTAGGAAAATGAACATGTATACGTTTCAAGTTGTAAGCATATGAGTAGATTGGTCGAGTCGATCATATGAATTTTTACATATGAAATTCAATATTCGATCAAAATAAGAATTAAATTTATCAATCTCAACCACAGTCAAATGGTCAGTGTATGAATTTTTATATATTGAATTCAATATCTGACCGAAATAAGAATTAAATCCATCAATTTTAACCACTAGTCGAAATAGCTCCATCGTGTTCTGTTGACGGGCTGTAATCCGGATTTCTACATTCTCCTTAAAATTATGACATTTGTAAAATAATAATTAAAAGAATAATGTTATATGTACTAACTAGTATTGATGTGTTTGTTTGGACGGACTGGATAACGGGGGATTGGAATCTATCGGATTGTTAGTCCTAAGATACATTGTCCTCGAATTATTTGGTTGGACTGAATTTGTATCCCAAGTTTGTTTAATCATGAGATTAGATGTCAGGAAATGATTATTTGGTTGGATAGAATATGAATCTTATGTTTGTTTGGGACATTATGGAGAAGGATAAATGTTCAAATGACTATTTTACCCTTTTCATTTATTTACTAAGTAATAGCAATATTAAACATATTTTAATTATTTTTAACTAGATTAAATAAAAATTTATTTTATTTTATTTTTCATACAATTAAATAAATTTATTTTTTTAAATTAAATAAATTAAATATCAATAAAAATATATATTATTTTTTAATTAAATTTTTAAATAAATTTATTTTAAAAAATAATAATAATTAAATAATGAAATTAAATAAAATATAAACAAAATTTTAAAATAAAACATTAATAAAATGTCTATAAAAAATTATTTTAAAAAATTAAATAAATAAAACATTAATAAAAATTAAATAAAATTATTTTACTTTTAAATTGAGACATTTAAATTTTATTGAATTTTACTAAATATAATTCATAATTAAATAGTAGAGGATCAAGATGACCATTTCACCACCTAATCCCATATCTCCTATGTCCCTCCATTTGTGTCCCACCCTCCATGAGACACAATAGTCCAATAGATTTAGAACTATTAGTCCGTCCAGTGCCAAAATTTTGAACAAACAACGGACTATATATTAGTTCGGATGGACTAATAGTCCAATCCCACCCCCAATCCTTCAAAACAAACACCACATATATTAACTCACCGTATTCTGCTGACGGGTTGTGATTCGGATTTCTACATTCCCCCTAAAATTATGACATTTGTAAAACAATAATTAAAAGAATAATGTTATATGCACTAATTAGTATATTAATTAATGATGTGACATAATTTAAGATGTTTTTCGTATTTGTAATTTATATAATGAGTAGGGTTAATAATAATGTACTAACTAGCGTTGGTACACTAGTTGACACACTAATTGATGCATGTAGCACCATCGAAAGTCTTATATACTACATACACAACTTATACAATTTCAATTATAAAAAATTCTATTTATACATAAAATTTGATAAAAATGATATGATAATACTATTGTTGTTAATAATTTTTTTAATGTATTTTATTTTGTAATAAAAAATGCATAATTATGAAAATCATGCGGTATGATTTTTTTGTCGGTTCGAAAAAGATTTTGATATACATTTCTCAAAAGAATATGTATTATATGCACCTTATAATTATTAAAAAAATTATATAATTTTATATTTTAAGAGTCCTAGGTTAAAAAAAAAAATCACAATCTAACACAAAAAAAAAATTATAACTAAATATTTTAAAATAATATTATAATCAAAGAAAATAATTGATCACAGGTTCCTTATATAAAGTGGGGACACTCATCATCCATCACCCACGACTCTTGCAAACCTTAAGGGGAGATGGCAATGATAGGTAGTGGAGGAGAAAGAGTTGGGAAAAGATGTAGATGGAGTTCCTCCTCCGATTCTGCTTTCTCGCATACGGTGATCGCGGTCTGGTGTTGTATAGCGTCAATTTCGTTGACGAGAAGACATACAAGAAGAGAAAGTTCTGCCGAAGGTGCTGCATCGATATCCACGACGGAGATGAAGAAAACAAAGATGGAAATGCCGAGCTTGATGAGGGTGGACTGCGACTGCTCACTCCGTTGAAGTCGAAAAAGAGTAGTTGGTTCCCTAGTTGTTCCATTGTTGTCGCTCTCGGCTCTGTTGTCTACGCCTTTGGTGGTATGATTAAAAGCCCTTACAAGAAATTCGAAGTCATCTATTCTCGTGAGTGCTTCTATTTTGATACTAATCGTCCCAAGGAAGGCTGGATTCGAGGTCCTCCTATGCTCAATGGAAGAGATGGGGGTAAAGCAGTAGCTGTTGAGGGCAAGATCTATGTTTTTGGGTGAGTTGATTTGGATTATGCTCCGGAGCCGTGGGCTGAGGTTTTTTATCCCATTAATAAAAAATGGGAGGCCCTACCTCGACCCCCTGATGAACTCGAAGATTGTATAATACTACAAGCTGCAGCTTATGGCGGCCCTTTGGAAGAAAAGAAGATCATGGTGGGTGCCGGTTCCAAGTATGTGTACCATTTGAATAGCAACAGTTGGGAATACCTCCGCAATATACATTTGAACAACTGTCATGAAAATATAATTGGGGCTGGGAATTTCATGTATTGGACAGATATGGGATATCTCTGTGTCGTCGATATGGAGTCTGGGAGGTACTACGGCGGAGAAATTAAGGGTTATAGTGTGTGTGTCAATTTCCGACCACACTGCTAAACAGATATTCAGTTAGAGAACACCAGCAAAATAAATTAAGTCCGAATGACCTGTTACGGAAAGATAAGATTTCGGCGGTGGTTCGTCCACCCGGGGCATTCCAACGATCAAGTCAGTTATCTCTCAAAGATAGTAAAACTGCTTAAATCACTAGTCAAAATACAAAAAACGTACCTTAGACCCACGAGGGCGTCTTACTTTTATAGTCAACACTGGCTTAATCCCAATAGAGGCCTAGCTTCAATGGACTCCGGCTCAATGCTAATCCTGGACTCCCAGTTAGATTGAGATAAGCTCTCTTAAGAGTTTTATCTTTACCCAAACTGAAGTCCTCTCACATTCTAGGACATTTGCCCCTTATCCGCTTATCTCGGATTCCGGTATCTTCGTAGATAACCTCGGCCTAATTGAGATTATCTCGGCGTCATGACCAGGACACGTGGCACCTCGGCTGGCACCTCGGTTTCACCTCGGTCACGCGTTGTCATTCAAAAATTATGTCCCCACAACTGCCCCTAGGTTTTATTGCCTCGACATTCTAAGGTGATGGAACCTATATCGTTTCTTCCATTTAGCACGTCGGCTAAGCTCGCTTTGTCCTTCATTACCGAGGTCATCATTCGTCGGCTCAATACGACCAAGATTTAGTCTGTTTTCATCAATGCTTCAAAACCAATAACCAAGTTTGTTTAAGTTTCTCAGCCGAGATCATCCCTCTAGTCGAGGTCCTGCTCTATTAAATCCAGAACTCCAAGAGTTTCAACACACGTATGAGCTGTCACGCACAATATTTCAACCGTTTTTGCCACGCGTCCTTCCCTTACTAAACCGTACCTGACACGTGCCATTAAGTCGCATCGCATTTGCGTGCGTCGTCTGACAAGCACGTCGTCCTAGGCACACTAATTGCCATTTTGTCGCCATTCTGCGTGTTTGATCAAAATCATCTCTCTCTCTCTCCGTCTTTTCACTTCTTCACCACCGTTTTCGTGCAAGTTCTCTCTTTCTACTCCCAAATCCTCCATTGTTTCAAGCTCCCAAGCTCTGCAACCACTCCGTTCACCTCCTCCGGCGAAGCTCTCTCCACTCTGCTCTGCCTATTTCCACCGTCAGACTCCGGTGAATCTCATATCGGCGTCATTTTCTGTGGTAAGTCACTGTTTCCCCCATCTTCAGTTTCAAACTCCGTTGTTTTTGTCTATTGCCATGGTGAATGTCTTCATGTTCTCTAATCTTTATCTAGGCTTCAAACTTTATCATTTGCATGTTTTGCGCATGTCCTATCTTGCAATTTTTTGTGCTTGTCTTGTTCTTGATTCTTGACCTTTATGTACAAATTGCACACATACTCGCTCAACTTTGCCACTGTTCTTGGCCTTGCACACCTGCACAAACTTGTTCAGTGTTCTTTGATTTCTTGTTTGTCTTCTTGAGTCTGAATCATATTCTTGTCTCTGTTTTCTGTGTCTTTTTCCAGATTCTTAGGCTTGGGATTTGTTCTAGAAACTTGTTTTTTAGGAAAACCGAACCTAAAACCCTTTTGATCTTCAGAAAAATTCGCCTCAGCACACGATTAGGTTTTAGCCGAGGTCCTTAAAACCCTAACAAACCACTTCCTTCTAAAATCCAACACCTTTCCCACTTAGCCGACGTTATGGGTATGTTCAGGTGGAGGGTAAATACCCCAACTAAGCTAGCATACTTGAGGTAGGAGTTTTCCATTCCTACCGACGTTCATCTCAGGTTGGCTGGGGAGGAGGACTCCATCATGCCCAAAGACGACTCCATGCCATTCCCAGTAATAGCCTTCATAGAGTGTGGACTTAGGCTCCCTCTTGACATCCTTTTCCGAGAAGTCCTTCACTATTATAAACTCAACCCAATGCAATTAGCCATTAACTCTTACAGAGTCATCAATGGTATCATTGCCTTAGCTAGAGAGAAAATGCTAGGGTAACTCTAGCCGACATCTAGTACTGCTACACCATGTGTGGCCTTAAGTCAGAAAAATGCTACATTTACTACCTTAAGCCGAGGTCGACGGAATACAAACTCATAGCCGACCTCCCTGATTCCAACAAGGGCGCCGGGGACGATTACTTCATCGTCTCGGGCAACTGGGAGTTCCTTCCAGACGATGACCTTCACCTCTACCTCTAAGCCGTACATTGTTCAGAGAGGGAGATGGTAAGAGCCAAGTGTTACTTTTACTTGCTTCTTAAGTCTTTTTTACTTTGATATTTTTGTGTGCTCTAACGTCTTTATGTTCTATTTTGCAGTTCTTTCTCAGCCTCCAAAGGACTTCCGAAAGAACTTCTATCCCAGCAAGGATTTCAAGAGGCTGTTAGGTCTGCCAGTTGACCAGTGAAGAGCCCCTTTGCTGCTCAACTACATCCTGGCTTACAAATCTGTACTTCCCGACTTCTCAAGAAAAAACAAGTCTCCTCCTTTAGCAGCAACTCCTGCTACAACTTCATCACCTCGGCCAGATCAGGGATCAATCTCTAATCCAACAGAACAACCATTAACCTCGGCTCCACAATTAATCCCACCTTCTTAATGCAAACGTCGATGTCTAATTGTAGCCGCCGTTGAGATGGGTCGTAAGAAGTCTGTATCAGACGACCTTCTAGTCGACATCCATAACACTGTCACCGTACAACCTTCGCCATCCCAGTCTCAGCCAAACCCAAAGCCAAAAAGACTGAAAAAAGCCCAACCTAAGGCAACGGTAACTCTGATCGACTCTGAGGACACCTTGCCAATCTCCAAAATAGCTGAGGCGGAAAAAAGTGCCTCTACCGCCGAAAAGATGCCCGCCGAGGCTGCTCCCTCTGAATCAACCCGGTCAAAGAAGCCGAGGTCAGAGTTTGCGACAACCTCGGGGTCTATGAAATCTGATGCCCCCTGGGCCTCTCCAATCACCATTGAGGACAAGCTAGTCAGAGTCGGCGACAACGCGACTGACATTGAAGTCGGCGTTGCCCTCTCCACTGCCTTGCTCCTTCCAAAGGACCTCGAACGCAACACCGAGGTCAGCGAATACTAAAACTTCACTCTGATGTTGCAACACTCTGTACAAGTAAGCCCCTAACACTTGGTACTTTTCGTTCTCTATTTTTCCATACTTAGAGCTTTTTACTAACTTTTGTTCTGTCCATTTCTTCTAGGCGATCCAGCACGCCCACTCCTTCGCGATGCAGGCTTTCAACACTAAGAAAGAATTGGTCAACAAGAACAAGGAGGCTGCTGGCTTGCTGAAGACCGTTAATAAGGTCGAGGCCAAGATAAAGACTTTGATGGATAAGGCCAAGACTGCCAAAAAAGCTCAAGACGAGGCCGAGGAAAGGGCAGGAGCTACTGAGGCCATTGCCAAGGTCCTTGAAGCCGAGAAGAAAGAGGCCGAAGTAAAGACCGCCGAAGCCCAGACCGAGCTCATTGCTGCCTTGGCCACAAAGGACGCCGAGATCAAAACGACAGATGAGAAGGCCTATGCTGAGGGGGCAGTCGATGTCAAAGAAGACTACAAGAAACAAGTGAAACAGGCATGTAACAAGAGTTTCACCCTTGGTTGGATGGATGCTCTGAAGGAGTTGGCTGTCTCCGAGGACTCTCTTCTTAAGAATGCTAGCAACCTCGTCCTGCCATTTCCACCCACTCCTAGCCAATCCGAGGACAAAGTTGAGTCCAAGAAGGAAGCTGAGGCTGAAAAGTCTGAGAAGGCTGTGGATGCTGGGGCTAAGTCTCTAACTTTGAATAAGCAAGTCTTGGACTTGACTTAGGAGGAGGAGGACGAGGTCTCAAAAGATACCACTCCTGAGAAGACAACATCTGACCCGCCTATCGTCGAGAAGAGCATCGGCCAAACTCTCCAAGAGATCGATGCTGAGCTCGCGGCTAAGAAGGCTGCCGAGAAGAGTTCTCAGATGTCTTCCGAGCCCCAAATCGATCCAGCTAATGATGCCGAATAGTCTAATCTTGAAGCTTTTCCTCTGTACTTAGTACTTTTTTCTTTTTGAACAATGTTTAGCTCTTTATTTGGCCGATGTGCCTTTTAGTAATTTGAATAATTATTCTTCAATGTCAGGCCGAAATGCCTTTTTTCCTTATCTGAATACATTCTCTAATTTTTTATTTCAATGTGATTGTATGTTTGTATGCGTTACTGTTTCCATACTTAGAATATTTTGCATGTCTTCAGTTTATGCCTTTCTTGTATAGTCTCCTCGGATTAACATACCTCGGACAAAACTTCCAATCTTGCTTATCTCGGCCTTGGCTTAACACTTGAAAGCATTGTAAAAAATATTTTCACAAGTGCTATATAAAACCTGCCATTTTACTTTTACTTAGTAAGACTTTTATCTTCAAATATCTTCCAAGTCTTGGCAACATGGTAATCTTGGAAAGTACGTAGATACTTCTTTCAACATAATCTTGGCTTAACTTTAACTTGTAAATTTAACATTTCAACAAGTGTTAAACCATCCTTCTTTTAACTTAATCTCGGCTTAACTTCAACTTGTAAATTTTTCTTAAAATTTCAACAAGTGTTAAACGAACCTTAGCTTATAGATTCCAACTCCCAAGCATTATTCTCCAGCCCTTTGCCCCTTAATGTGAACTTAAGTTCCACTTGAGTTCTCATTAAGCATGTGGCTTTGACCTCATCGCTGAGGTCAGATTCAAACAAAGACTGGCCGAGGTTACCAACCTTGGTCTCTTTGTTAATTTAACTGACATGTACTTGGTTTCAATCTTTGTCTGACTCTGCCGATATGGCAAGTCTAGGTTAATTCAACTTAATTCAACTCTATTATATGCGAGTATAATTCAACTCTGCCATATAATAAGTCTAAGTTATTTGTCATGTTTCAATCAGAAACATCTCCAACTCAGTTCAACTCTATTATATGTAAATATAATTCAACTCTTTTATATAATAAGTCTAAGTTATTCGTCATGTTTCAATCAGAAACATTGCCAACTCAGTTTAACTCTATTATATGCAAGTATAATTCAATTCTGCCATATAATAAGTTTAAGTTATTCGTCATGTTTCAATTAGAAATATCGCCAACTCAGTTCAACTCTATTATATGCAAGTACAATTCAACTCTGCCACATAATAAGTCTAAGTTATTTGTCATGTTTCAATCAGAAATATCGCCAACTCAGTTTAACCCTATTATATGCAAGTATAATTCAATTCTGCCATATAATAAGTCTAAGTTATTCGTCATGCTTCAATCAGAAATATCGCCAACTCAGTTCAACTCTATTATATACAAGTATAATTCAACTCTGTCATATAATAGGTCTAAGTTATTCGTCATGTTTCAATCAAAAACATCGCCAACTCAGTTCAACTCTATTATATGCAAGTATAATTCAACTCTGCCATATAATAAGTCTAAGTTATTCGTCATGTTTCAATCAGAAACATCGCCAAGGGACTGTTCAACTGTGTTACACAAGTTTGAAATCAAAAATTGAGCTAAAATTTTATTATTACTTTGGCTAATAACAGAAAACTTTAAAAAACAAAAAATCTAATGATTGAAAAACTTTATGTTGCAAGTATTCTAAGGTTGGCAATTCTTTGCCTTTACTGTCTTTAAGCCAGTATGCACCATTGCCCAGGACCGAGATGATTCTATGAGGTCCCTCCCAATTTGGGCCAAGCTTGCCTTCTCTGGGATCCTTTTTGTTGCCGACGACCTTTCTTAGGACGAGGTCCCCAACTTAGAACTCTCGTGGGTTAACCTTTTTATTATAAGCCCTGGCAAGCTGCTACTAGTATGCCCCTATTGAATTGTTGCCTTCTCCATCCTTTCTCCTAGAAGATCTAGATCTCGAGCCAAGAATGCCTCATTGGTTCCATTTTCTACTCCCTGGATTCTGATCCCTGGGATGCCGACCTTTAGTGGAATAACTGCTTCTGTGCCATAAGCTATAGCAAATAGGGACTCCCCAGTTGATCTTCTCGGCGTAGTCCGATATGCCCAAAGTACATTGGGCAACTCTTCCATCCACTTTCCCTTTGCTACTTCCAGCCTCTTCTTGATTCCATCCAAGATAACCTTATTGGAGGCTTCTGCTTGACTATTACTCTGAGGAAAGCTTGGAGTAGAGTAATAATTCATGATTTTGTACTTTGCACAAAAGCTTTTGATTAGCTTACTGTCAAACTGCGTTCCATTGTTTGCTATTATTGCTATTGGGATCCCAAACCTAGTGATGATATTCTTCTATATGAAGTTCTTTACATCAATATTCCAAATCTTTGCAAGGGGTTCAGCTTCAACCCACTTGGTGAAGTAGTCCGTTGCCACTACCAGGAACTTCCTTTGTCCAGTTGCTTGAGGCAGTTGTCCAACAAGATCCATGCCCCATTGGGCAAATGGCCAAGGGCTGGACACTGAGTTTAAATCTGCTACTGGTTGGTGTATCAAAGGTGCAAACCTCTGACACTTCTCACACTTTCTGACATAGGCTTCGGCATCTTTCTGCATATAAGGCCACCAATACCCCTGAGTAATGGTCTTATGAGCAAGTGACCTGCTTCTAGTGTGGCTTCCACATACTCCTTCATATATCTCATATAAGAAGTCTTAAACTTGTGAATGATGCACACACCTCAAAAGGGGTCCAGTAAAAGATCTTCTGTAGAGATGCCTTTCTTCGGTCAGACTGAATCTTGCCGACTTCAGTCTGATCTTGTGTGCTTCTTTATGATCATTTGGCAGTTTTCCCTCTTTAAGGAATACTATTACTGCATCCATCCAGCTTGGTCCCATATCCACACATATTGCTTCATGCTCTGTGTTCAGTGGTTCTACACTTGGACTTGACAAGTATTCAACTATTATTGTCCTTACCTCTCCTGGTTTCATTGCACTAGCCAGGTTGGCCAAGGCATCAGCATGGCTATTGTCATCTCGGCCGACTTGCTGTAGTCGACAATTTTGGAACAATGCCATCAGTCTGCCCATCTCCTTTACATAGGCCACCATCCTTTCATCTCGGGCTACGTATTCGCCTGTTGCCTGGTTGACGATAGGTTGAGAGTCACAAAAGACCTTTACCTCGTCGGCTTCCATTGCTGCTGCCAATTTTAACCCTGCGATTAGGGCTTCATACTCTGCCTCGTTGTTTGAGGCCTTAAACCCCAAATGAATGGATTGTTCAAGCATCTGTCCATCCGGCGATACTAGCACTACTCCTGCCCTCGCTCCTTGTCAGTTTGAACTTCCGTCAACAAACAGGCGAAAAGAGTCGTTGTAGACCGCCCGAACTTCCACTGCGCGCCCCCTTTTCGGAGAGGGCGCGGATTTAGGTTCATAGCTACTACAGTTTGGACTCCTGTCACGGTTCTGAATCTAATCTCACAAAGTGCAATGTAAGACTGATAAATCATCCAAGAGTCCAAATCCGGCAAATTGTTTTGGAAAATAGATTTTAATAAAAAAACGCCAAACATAGACTGCTTTGTCAGATTTCAGAGTCGCCACCTAAATGTTTTGTTTTGGAAAATTTAGGAAATCCTGACTCGTGCCTAAGGCCACGTGTCCATCATCACCAAAGTTGCCTCGGCTCGGGAACTTGGGTAGGAGAGGGGAAGGTCCTGAAATGAGCACCCCCACTTGCTCGATCAAAGATCGGCCTCTACTAAACATGATATGTTGTTTTAAAAACACTTGTGTTCTTATTTCGATTATTAATCTAGAATTACTATGTGATGCGCACAACATACATGTATAGACTAAATCATTCAATTTGGAACAAAACATCTCATGTTTGTTTTTTTGAAAATGGTTTGAAGTTGTTACCCTCAAGTAGGCTAAAATATGGATTTGCCACCCTCAAGTAGGCTTAAGAAAACATGATTTGCCACAAACAAGTGGGCTTAAAACGCATATTTTGACGAATTGTTCCAATTCAAGCAATGAAGCTTTCATCCACAGGCATTTATACGGTTAATCACTTAAGCAGATAGCTTCATAGCAAGTGTGCTATCATGGCAGTTACTTACACACATGTAAGGATGCTAAAGCATAAATACTTACAGTGTACTTCGAGCCAAAACAGAAAACTAGTTAAAAATCAATACATGATCCTGGTTATGTTAAAATGCCTAATGCAACACATGCAAAATGCAACTAAATAGGCTCGGCTACCTAAGATGGCATATGAGTTGCAACACTTAATAACATGCTTTGAAACACGTATTCAAGTAAGTGTATTGAAATATAATGCAGTTTGTATGATACGTCGAGCCCGGTGCATGCAAGACAAATGAATGATGTATGCATGCAAAGCATAAGTATGCTAATTGAAATATGTCTTAAACTAACCATCGAAAGCGGGTAAATAAAAGGCAGAAAGAAATGGGGTTGGAAGACATGCACACACGCATGCACCCTTATTACAACATTTGCTCTCTCGACGGAGGGTCCAAATAAAAGAGAGCTAACTAGCTACGCTAATTAAGCTAACTACTACAAAACGCAACTAATTAGCTAACAAGTTAACTAATTACAAACACAAATGAATAGCTAAATGCATTAACTATTTAAGTATAGAATCAATGAGTTAACCATCTAAGCGAAGCAGTTAAAAGGAGCCTCGGGGCGAGAAATGCATGCATGCTCGGTTGTTTCTTCCTAAAATCCCGTTGCCTTGCCACCGATTGCCTCTGTTTGCATTTGCTTTGATTCCTGAATACTGAACCAATTCCCAGACTGTCTCTGCTTCAGAACCAGAATAACTTTGAACCACCTTCAAGCTAGTGGGCTGTCGGCCACTAGGGGAGACTGTAGGCCACTTGTCGGCCACTTAAAAGGGCTATAGGCCACTTCCTCTGGCCGGTCGGCCAGTTGTTGCTGCACATTCCAGTTTTGCTGCAAACAGAGTTCAACAAGGGCAAAGTAAGGCATTTGCAGGGTATGTGTATACAATCACCCTCCTTCTCATTTCTCAAGCTCAAAGGGGTGTGATACTCGACTCTCGGGCCACCAACCGAGCATCGCAATGCACGATAGCTGAGAAACCAAGTTTGTACAAGTTAATGAATGCACAAGTAACACACAAGACTCGAGAGGCCTCCACCCTATCATGCACAATCAAGGGGGATGGCGACCAAGAAATGAGGCGCGTTTCATCACTTCAAATATGAAACGCCCCTCGTTTCTCGTGTTTGGATTAACGTTCGATCCAAACACAATGCAATGCAACACTCTCATGCAAACAACATGCTTATCTACCAATGCTAAAGTAGCATGCACAAGACTCCATCATGGCATGTTTAGAAGCTAAGGCATCAAGGCTAGTGAAGTGTATTACAGATGAGGCATTCACTACAATGCTCAAATGGTCAAACCTACCTCATGCCACAACAATGGTACAATCATGCTGGAAATGAAGCACCAAAA